AGATGATAATGCATGTTTAAACATACCCAATGATGCAAGAGATCTAATAGCAGCAGGTAAAGTATTCCAGTCTGTTGGGACTTTGAACATGAACGCTCTTCTGCCAATCAATTTTTTTGCAGAGGGGACAGAGAAATAAATCTGGACAGAATGTCTAACTTGATGAATTGGTGAGTAGGGTACAAAATACTGCTTTAAATAAGGGGGATAGTTAAGATAAATGCATTTAAATATCAGCTGAAGCCAATGTGTGTGTCTTCTTACATTTAATGAAGGCCATTTAAGTTGGTTATACATTGTGCAGTGATGTGTACGAAAAGGACAACCAAGAACAAATCTGCATAGTATATTGTAGTAGGCTTGAGTGGAGCAAGATCTGATTTATGTGCATTTTGGTAGACAACATCACAATAGAATTTATAATCTATAATCTATAAATAATTATAAATAATTATCATTATTATTATGAATTGTTATTATTATTAATTAATCTGCTTTACTTGTTGATTGACATATATACATATACACTTATATATATATATATATATATACATACACACACATACACATATATACACATGTACATACACATATACATTCACACACATACATATACAGTGGGGCAAAAAAGTATTTGGTCACAGCCACCAATTGTGCAAGTTCTCCCACTTAAAAAGATGAGAGGCCTGTAATGTTCATCCTAGGTACACTTCAACTATGAGAGACAGAATGGGGGGAAAGAATCCAGGAAATCACATTGTAGGATTTTTAATGAATTAATTGGTAAATTCCTCGGTAAAATAAGTATTTGGTCACCTACAAACAAACAAGATTTCTGGCTCTCACAGACCTGTAACTTCTTCTTTAAGAGCCTCCTCTGTCCTCCACTTGTTAACTGTATTAATGGCACCTGTTTGAACTCGTTATCAGTATAAAAGACACCTGTCCACAACCTCAAACAGTCACACTCCAAACTCCACTATGGCCAAGACCAAAGAGCTGTCAAAGGACACCAGAAACAAAATTGTAGACCTGCACCAGGCTGGGAAGACTGAATCTGCAATAGGTAAGCAGCTTGGTGTGAAGAAATCAACTGTGGGAGCAATTATTAGAAAAGGGAAGACATACAAGACCACTGATAATCTCCCTCGATCTGGGGCTCCACGCAAGATCTCACCCCGTGGGCTCAAAATGATCACAAGAACGGTGAGCAAAAATCCCAGAACCACACGGGGGGACCTAGTCAATGACCTGCAGAGAGCTGGGACCAAAGTAACAAAGGCTACCATCAGTAACACACTACGCCGCCAGGGACTCAAATCCTGCAGTGCCAGACGTGTCCCCCTGCTTAAGCCAGTACATGTCCAGGCCCGTCTGAAGTTTGCTAGAGAGCATTTAGATGATCCAGAAGAGGATTGGGAGAATGTCATATGGTCAGATGAAACCAAAATAGAACTTTTTGGTAAAAACTCAACTAGACGTGTTTGAAGGAGAAAGAATGCTGAGTTGCATCCAAAGAACACCATACCTACTGTGAAACATGGGGGTGGAAACATCATGCTTTGGGGCTGTTTTTCTGCAAAGGGAACAGGACGACTGATCCGTGTAAAGGAAAGAATGAATGAGGCCATGTATCGTGAGATTTTGAGTGACAACCTCCTTCCATCAGCAAGGGCATTGAAGATGAAACGTGGCTGGGTCTTTCAGCATGACAATGATCCCAAACACACCGCCCGGGCAACGAAGGAGTGGCTTCGTAAAAAGCATTTCAAGGTCCTGGAGTGGCCTAGCCAGTCTCCAGATCTCAACCCCATAGAAAATCTTTGGAGGGAGTTGAAAGTCTGTGTTGCCCAGCGACAGCCCCAAAACATCACTGCTCTAGAGGAGATCTGCATGGAAGAATGGGCCAAAATACCAGCAACAGTGTGTGAAAACCTTGTGAAGACTTACAGAAAACGTTTGACCTCTGTCATTGCCAACAAAGGGTATATAACAAAGTATTGAGATGAACTTTTGTTATTGACCAAATACTTATTTTCCACCATAATTTGCAAATAAATTCTTTAAAAATCAGACAATGTGATTTTCTGGATTTCTTTTTTTTTTCTTTCTCATTCTGTATCTCATAGATGAAAATTACAGGCCTCTTTCATCTTTTTAAGTGGGAGAACTTGCACAATTGGTGGCTGACTAAATACTTTTTTGCCCCACTGTACATATACATACAGTCAAACAACATTTCCTCTTGAACTGGTCGCTTTAGCTCCACATTCACACTGTTCCACAGTCTCACTCCACATGCTGAGAAATGTTCTTCTGGTTGTATGGACCCTATGAATTTCGAATTGAAATGGTCTCCTTGAAACATATTTTATCAATATAATTAGGCACAATATACCGACTAAGAATCATGTTTCCCATACTTATAGGAACCTATTAATGGATTTACCGGATAACACCTTCCACATAAAAAATAAATGGGAGTTAGAGTTGAATATTATAATTGAAGATGGGGAATGGGAAACTTTGTGTAAGGGCTGTCACAAAGGTATAAACAGTAATACGTGGAAGGAGTTTAACTGGAAGACAAAGACACGGTTCTTTAGGACACCCTTGATCATTTCCAAATGTATAGACACCCCCACAGCAAAGTATTGCTGGAGGGAGTGCGGCCTGATTGGTGACCACTCACACATATTCTGGGACTGCCCAAAGATGGTCTCTTTCTGGCATGGGGTAAAGGAGGAGATAGACAGAATTATGGGAATTGATCTACCGCTCAACTGTTTTACTCAAGTTTAATGATAGTTTATAGTTTAATGATAGTTTATTAATTGATAATTTAAACTTTATTTGCAGTAATTAATAAGATGTTCACCAAAAAGACTGAAATGTCGAATCTTTTAATAATGAATACATTATAGTTTCTATTATTGTATGGGTATTTCTGGGTTAGAACTCTTTGTCTGCATTTTTTCTATTTTCTGACATTTTTAGATCAAATCTTTATAATATTTTTTTGTTGCAGCTTTAGCTAGAACCGAGTCCTATAAATGCATAAACCTAATATTTTAAATATTTAACATGAGTGGTTATGCAAGGCCTTCTCTGCACTGTATTATTCATGTATTATTGTTCGGGGGTTTTACCAGATCACAAAATATGTTTGCTCTCCAGCCTAAAGTCAAATAATGTCCGGAGTTGATTCTCAACAAAGAAAAGTCCAACCTAAGTGACTAAAAGGCTCTCAATATGGTCACACATGTTATGTATTTCTCTATAGCGTTGAATATTTATTACAAACAGCATAGTGAGGTATCTTCATGTGTATTTTTTGTTTTACATTAACAGCCAACTACAAAATACAGACATTTGTACCAAATATTTATTAAAATCCCATATATATATATAACCTTCTGTGTTTATTTAGGGAGCCTCGTAGACATATTAGGATGCTGATAGCAAAAACAGGATTTGAAGGCCTTTAAGTGATCTCAGGTTTATACAGCTGCAGTCTTGAAGGGAGATCTGTGCAGTTAAAAAAGTGTTTGACCTAATGACACTGAAACCAGAGGTCACAGTTTAACCACAGATGTACCAGCGCTTTTATTGATCTCCCTAAACACATTATCATAGGCTACAGACACCGTACTAGAGTCCGTCCTGATTTCCAGGGTATTTCTTTTTTTATTAGAGTCATTGGGTGGAGTACCACACTGAAAACTAACTAACCTAATGATGTTTTACCACATTCAAGCACAAACACACACAAACACAAACACACACACACACACACACAAACACACACACACACACACACACACACACACACACACACACACACACACACACCCCAGGCTGGAGTTGTTAGTCTTCTCTTTCTGCTCTGCTGCTTTAATAGGCAGCGAACCCCCACCCCCCCTCCTCTCGTCCACCCCCACAAAAGCCTGATGATGTGCAGGCTCCACAGAGCTGGACTTTCAAACGATATCATTACCATTTCAAAGAACCTGCTGCTGCCTTATGGACCTACAAGCTGTGGCATGTTATATGGAGCAGGACGTTGTTTGCAACAAACTAAATCACCCTACATCTTTTTTCATAAATCTAAATCACAACCAACGTATGTCACGCCTTCCTGAGTCAGCCGGGTGTGTATCATTTCAATGAGAGAAAAGGCATCAATGCAGGGTGTGTATCCTCAGATGTTGCAGGGTTTCCTGTCAGGCATCGCTACCACTTAGATTTGATCTGAAAACGCTACCACTCAGTGTTAAAAGTCTTGTTTGCACTGCTGTCAATTAAACAGCAGATATACAGCAGGGAGGGAGGGACTGAATCACATGAAGGCATTCACACTGAACAAGAGTCCAACACTTTGGAGGACGTTACTCTCATTAGATAAGTTATTTCCAAAAAAGGAAGGAGTGGTCCCACACGGTGCAGGAGGGAATTTGTCAGCCACAAACACACACACTTAAACGCCCAGCGGTTCCTGCTGCAACATTAATGTCCTCATTTATCCTCTTATGCACAAATGTCAACCTTTGTCAGCCTCTATCCCGTGCTCTCCTTTTCTCCCCATTTAGATGCCCTCCACACCTTCACTGACTCCCTCCCATTCTCCAGTGTTTACTCTCCTTTGTGTTTCATTCCTTTAACCCCATTCATTCCTCCACACCTACCTACCCTCTCCCCAATTTGTCTGTATTCCCCTCACAGTGCAACTAATCATATCCAGCTCACCACCTCTCCCCCCCCCCTCCCCTTATCCTGCATAGATATTGCAAATTTCTCTACCCCATCTTCCTCTCATTTGTTTTGTTTCATTTCACTGTCTTTTTTTCCGCTTCTCTCCTCTGCTTGGGGATCCTCCAGTGACATCACTCCTACAGTTACCATGGTTTCGGGGGAAGGGACCGTAATAACTGTTTGGATCAAACAGATAGGACTGGTGATGTTGCATCTCACGATAAAAACAACTAAAGAGACCTGAGGCATTCAAATTCAATTGTTCTTTATTGTAGGATCGTGACATAGTTTATGGTTTTAGATGAAACCATGTTGTGTGTGTGTGTGTGTGTGTGTGGGGGGGGGGGGGTCTTCAGGTCAGTGATAACGATGGATCTGTCTGAATGAACAAGTTCTCGTCGTACAAGTCTTCATCCAGGTCTCCTTCCTCTTCTGTGAAATATGTCGGGAAAGGAGGGTTGATCAGGGAGGACTTCCTGTTTGGTAGTATAGAATCTCTCACCTGGAACACACAACACACTTTTTTAAAGCTTCATAACTTTTAATTATTACTGAAACAACTGAGTGACATCATGTATTTTCTAGTTGCTTTCAACTTTAAAATCTTTATTGTTAGTTGTGTAAAAGAAATGTGGATTTACCAGCTTGTCAATTTGTGGATGTATTGTTTGTCTGTGCTTGATTTCATTATAATAAGGATATCATTGGGTTTTGGTTAAACAAAACAAGCGCTGTGTTAAAGCCACTATTTTCAAACTTTAGAAAATCAAATCTATTCAGAATCAATCTGATTCTGTCATCCCCTGAAGAAGCATAATAAAACATTACACATTTAGATGTTAATCATTACAATACAGGGGAAACTATTAACAAAACAAGTCAATTAGTAATGTCATTGTAAACAATACTACAATCAATTATAACCTAATTGTGTTTGTCCTAATCATTTACTCTCCCTCTGCATCCCCAGTCTGAGAAGCACTGCGCTTATTGAAAAATACATTAAAAAAAGTCTTTGTTATTATTAAAACTACAACATTATAATCAATAATGAAGAATACTGTTTATTGCATTGCCTTCTATTAATTGTAATCAATAGAACATAATAATCCTCATTAACATATGGCTGCATAGAATATCAAAAACAAACAATAGTGCATTTGAGTGTGTGTGTGTGTGCGCACGTGTGTGTGTGTGTGTGTGTGTGCGCACGTGTGTGTGTGTGCGTGTGTGTGTGTGTGTGTGTGCGTGTGTGTGTGTGTGTGCGTGTGGGGGGGTGTGTGTGAGGGTAGGACAGCTGAGCTGGTTGAAATGCAATGCACATTTGTATTCATTATCGCTTGTCTGCAAAAAGAATAATAGGCTGTGTGTGTGTGTGTGTGTGTGTGTGTACACGAACGCAACATGCTGAGTAGGAGAAGGATGCTGCTGATATTTCTAACATCATTAAGGGGCGCGCTCCCATTCTCCCCCTTCACAGAAATACACACAAACACACACACACACGCTGCTGATCCAGCACGGAGTCAATGAAGATGGATCACACAGTCTTGCAGGTGTGACGGTGTCTTACAGGTGCAAGGTCGCTCGTCTCTGTCACAACACTAATCATGCTGGGATTGACCTTCGACATCATAAGTGTGTATATGATTATTTTTACCTTCAACACGCAGTTCCTGTGTCCGGGCACCGAGCCGTTCACATACAGCACGTTGTACTTGGTATTGACCCTCCATACCTGCAGGAGAGGAGGATGCAGATGAGAGTATTGAACTGAAATTGCAGTCAAGGACAAACAAGGTCAAAAATAGGACTGTGTGTGTTTGTCCTTGTGAGTGAGAGTGTGTGTGTGTGTGTGTGTGTGTGTGTGTGTGTGTGTGTGTGTGTGTGTGTGTGTGTGTACCTTCAGCCCATGAGCTGTGATGGAGATGTTTCCCATCATGCCGGGCATCTTTTTCCCTTTGAACACTTTGGCTGCATCCTAGACGCAGATGATAAAAGACACGCGCTCGTATTAGTTGGGAGTCATTATGGGAAGCCAACTGTTCATGTCTGGCAAGGATAAGCGTCTTACACAGTGTGTGTGTGTGTGTGTGTGTGTGTGTGTGTGTGTGTGTGTGTGTGTGTGTGTGTGTGTGTGTGTGTGTGTCTTACTCCAGGCCCAGAAGCTCCCGGTCTGCGGTGAGTTTTGGTTGAGCCGTGGGTGGCTGGCTGACCTTTGAACCCGTACCGCTTCATTACACCTTGAAAGCCCTTACCGATGCTACACACAAGAATCATATTTTCAGGGTACGTTGAAGAATGATGACTTGTTGCCTCAGAGGATAATAACACAAAAAGAGATCTATTTTCAAAACATGCTGCTGGCCCAAAAAGAGAAGAGGAAGCGCCAGCAAGGATGGAAAGCCGGCATAACAGGACTTACGATTTGGCGGTGATGTCCACATATTGGCCTGGACGGAAATGTGCCGCAAACAGAGGAGTGCCTGCACACACAACAACGAGTTACGTTATGGAATGTGTACAATCAAAGAAAATGATATTGTGGTACGTGAAAAAAGTACCAAATAGTATTTCCCATTTCAAGCTAGTGCCGTGTGTATACCTGGCTTGATGATGGCATTGTCTGAGACTTTAAAAGTGGTGACTTTCTGTTTCGGAGGCACCCCCGCATTCCTGAACATCTCCATGTGCTCTTCAGACTTCTGCCAATCACGATGATGGAGAGAAAAGAAATGTGAGGATGGAAGGAAGGGAGATGAAGTGTTGAACGAACAGCAGTTGGACTTTGGCATTTTAAATTAACTGTGGGCCTGTTACAACTGGACAGGAGCCAAGCACACGCACACACACACACACACAGGCAGGCAGACATACGCACGAACACTTGGCAATGAGCGTCTCTGACATTTGCTTTCATACAGCTCGCTCTCATCTCAGCCCATCCACTCACTCTATACTCTCTCCCTTTCAACAGAAGGGTGAAAACCAGCCTGCCAAAGTTCGTCACTCTCACAAACTCTGCCTCTGACTGAGGAGTGATGTGGCTGTGTGAGGGGGATCCTGAACGACAACACTCAATGAATAAATCACGCTTTGATTCAGTCACCTTGCTCATTTGTTTCCTCCTTAAAAAGTCAAACAAATCCATGTCATGCATTCTAAAAAGGGCTGACTTCCTTCAACTTCTTTAGAAATGTTTATCCGTTTTTGAGAAGTGTTTTTGCGATGGAGGTGAGATATGCGGTGAGTTTATTACAGTCACGAAAGACACTTCTCAAATGCGTGTGTGCTTGTCGTGGTTGGCAGTGATATCTGATTGGATCCTGTTTATTTTGACACCTAAGATGAAGTATAGTCACTAATGGTTAGTGGGTGAGTATAATCTCCCAGCAATGGATCTGTATTCATAAAAGGTCTGAGAGCCTGGAGGCTGATATGAGCTCAATGCTACGGGGAAATGACAAAACTCAGTTATGCTTCCATAAAGCTGTCAGACTGATTCGATTTCTTTATGATTATGAAATGTAGCCAGAACTCAAATGAACAAAAATGGACATTGTGATATGATTATGGATTTGGCACTGGCTGCTCTGCCGGTATTATATGGAGCGTAGTGATAAGATATGATATTCTCAAGCGTTACAATTCAGTACAAATTAAAGCATTTAACAATATCTTAGTTTCAACCTTATTAAGGATTGTTTTGATTAATATTAAAAGTAAAGTAATTATCTAACATGCTGAGATTTGTAGTGCAGGCCTTATTTAATAAATAATAATTCAAACAAAAAACGGTACATTAATGGATAATGATAATAGCAATAGTTTGTTCATCTGTAAAGCCCACCGAGACAAACGTATTTTGTGATGTTGGGCGATATAAATAAACTCTGATCTGATAACGATAATAGACGGGGAGTTTTCTAAGGTTATCCTCAAAGCTATTTTCTTGTCTTTCTAAAGTGTGCTTTTTAAAAACATGCCATAACTATTTTTCTCTATCAACTTCTGAGGGAAAGATCAACTTTCTTTAGCTGCTTAAAGCTCCATGACATTCATCAGCTTGTCTCTGACTTTGTCTGCTGTTTGGTGGTGAGCAGATGTAAGGATTTTTAGAACTTTTTTATTAAAATAGCTGCCTGTTGGGCCCGAAAACATGAGCGGTGAAAATGAACCAAAATATTGTCATTAAAAGGTGCATCAAGACAGCAAAAATATGAGCTGAAACTTGATGTAAAGCTCTATACTCTTTTCTAAAGGTTCATGACTTTGAGTCACCCTTTCAAATGGCCCTTTGACGCATTATTATTAGAAAAAATATTGATGAAAGCTAGTTAAAGAACAAATAACAGCAATAAGAATTTACCTAAGCAACATCATATGTCAAAACACCGAATTCAGTGAAGATAAAACCCTTATACATGTATTTGTTGACGTTATTAAGAAGTATTTCTTACAAAGAATGGTGATACGTTCTTCCCTCCTACCAAGAGGGCAGCTGTGTGTCCATTAAATTCTTCCTTGGACAGATGCTTAATTACATGGCAGTCCTGCACCTGAAAAAAGAACAGAGGCTGGATTAACACAAGTTATAGTCACTGTGCCATTTGTTTTGTTCTGCCCTACAACATACACAAACATCTAATTATTCAAGTCCCTATTGAAATATGTACATTTGGAAAATCAGTATATCACTACATTTAGGGCAGGGAAAGAAGAGGAAAATATAAACGCAAAAATCGAAGGTAAACCTATAATATATGAATTCATTACATTATGACATATTTTCAGTTTTGCTTCAGATAGAAGTCCCACAATGCTGAAGTCGTGAGAGTACTTTCACCCTGAGAAAGGGTTTTGAAATACTTTCCATCTAGCACAGCCTGTTCCTGTATCAGCTAAACGGAAGAAAAATGACTGAATGTGATGAAAGTGAATCATCAGATGGGGAACGAACTTTTGGAACGACCTTGAATGTGAGATTAAGAGGCAGGGATGAGAAATACAAAGAAAGTCTGACTATTAACATTTTACTGAAATTGCAGTAGGAGTTTGTGATGCTACTCACTTCCGTATATCAGTTTCATTAAAAGGGTAGAGCGAACACATTCTGACATCAATTGAGTTCACTGACAGACTAGTTGGTGTCATTTCAAACATGATCTGAATAAACCTGACTTTAAATACATCCTCTCTGCACCTTGCATGTTTAAAGACTGCAGGTGAGATTGCAAGGTGTTCAATATTTGCTAAATAATCTGCTTTTCTCACACGCAGGTCATTTCATCATGGACCACAAATAGGCATTATCGGACCTAAAGAATACCAAATACTTTTGGATGGAAAGCTTAGGTACAACAAAAAAGGCAACGGAGAGGTGTGTGTGTTAGGGCTGCTCGATTATGGCAAAAATCATAATCTTGACTATTTGGGTCAATAATTGTAATTGTGATTATTAAATGTGATTATTCATTGACTTTGAAAACATCTATTTATTGGAGAAAATAAATGTGAACAGTATGTTTTTAAGAGTTGATTACCCTGAACTTTAAGTATAATTCAAATGAATTTTTTTTTTTTAAAAGTCAAAAAAATAAAAAGTCATAATAATAAAAAAATTATCGTTTTATTTCGATTACGTTGTTTTCGCAATCGTTGCAAGCCATAATCGTAATCGCGATTAAAATACGATTAATTGAGCAGCCCTAGTGTGTGTGTTACCTGTAACAAGGTGACAACGTGTTTTTCTCCCGCTTTCGTCCAGATAGGAGCCATCCCCAACTTCACAGCTACTAATCCAACTCTCCGACTGCCTGTAAAGAGGAACAAATATAAACAGTTTAATTGGGAGCAAACAGGAAGAGGTGCATCATTTTAACAGCTCTCCCTTCTCCCGACACCCACCCTCTGCCCAGTCATGGCGCTCCCAGGGCTCATCTTTGAGCGGGTTGAGCTTCTCAGCCGTTTGACTCCTGTATTCCTCCGCTATGGTCTTCCTCATGAACTCCTGGTTGTCCTCTGTGAGGTGTTCATCAAACCACGTTGTGGTCTTTACTGTCCTGAAAAGAAACACTGAATGTGCGGGACTGCAAGAAAAAGAGAAAGATGACAGTCAGATCAATAAGGGTCAGACATATCCACAGCTGTGACCGATCAATACAAGAGTGTTGCACGCAATGCAAATGTGCTTATTTATATCAGGGAACTAAAGATGACTTTGCTTGTTCATTATTTCATCTATATATTAAAAAAATTCAATTAGATGTCATTTAAGTTAGAGACCATCCCAATTTCCTACAATATGAGGTGACGAATTTGTAGAGTTCATATTGTCTGATGCACAGCTTCAAACAAATGCCATTTACAATCAAGATATTTTTTTTTACCACAAAACAACTCATTTTCGGAGAATCCTATCTCAGGGCTGATTTATGAATTCACTGCATAACCTTAACTGAAAGGTGCCTTGTTGCTTCACGTCTCTTACTACTCACTTTAGCTTAGCGAGTCAGTTTAGTCACTGCAGCGTCCTTGCTAATAGGTAACACCAGGTTTAGGTCCACACATTGATATGGACAGTTTATGCATTTTGGCTTTATGACGATTCAAAGACAGAAAATAAAAATATGAGGTCTGATTAAACCCTGTTGACCTTCTGACGTCTGCCCACGTCTTTTTGCAGATGGCTATCAAGATATTACTCATTTATTACTGACAAGACTGGGACTGTGGTGTGGTTAATCCGTTCAGTAGTCTTGCAGAATACTAAAAATATCTAAGGAAGAAGAATTTAGCATACATGAAAAACACTACACAAAATGCATGGAGAACCGTAGGAGATATTTGCAATAGTATGATATATATATTATAGATATAACACTCAACTTCACAGGCAGTGGTGGAAGAAGTAGTCAGATGTGTTACTTAAGTAAAAGTAGCAATACTATACTTAAAAAAAGACCTACATTCAAAATCGTACTTGGAGTAAAAGTACAAAAGTATCAGCATCAAAATATACTTAAGGTACCAATGTGTTTTTATCACAACTGTTACATGTAGAGCTAATTTGAATAACTTGATATACTGCGTATATCTTAAGATATGAATATATATCTCAAAGTTTATAAAATAACTGATTTATATTAGCTAATAATCTAAACCTAAAAAGTAACTAATTTAGCAACACAAGCTGTCAAATAAATGTAGTGGAGTAAGAAGTACAATATTGGCTTTTAAAATGTAGTGGAGTATTAGTTTAAAGTAGCAAAAACTGAGAATACTCAGGTAAAGTACAAATCATTGTATTTAAGTACAGTACTTGAGTAAATGGATTTTGTTACATTACACCACTGGTCACAGGTAAGCAGAGGAAATTAAGCTAGCTTTAGCTTTACTCAAATGACTAAATTATCTCATAAAGCCAGTTTCTTAACACATCATTGGCTTGGTTTAAAACAGCAAAGGGCAGTAAATACATAAACTGCACCTCTCATTAACGACAGCGACCTACTTTAGATAAGCTTACATTACATACTGAAGCTACAGTTACATTAGCACAACATCCAGTTAGCATTAGCATCACCTTTCAGCTGCTGCTCGGAGAGAGATGAGCCCAGGGCCCCGCTGAAGAAGAAACCGACCGCTCCACGCCAACATTGCGCTGTTTAATATACACACTGTCACATAAATAAAAAATATATACACATAAACTAGAGGCGCATGGGGTCTAACAACATCAGAAAAACCATGCCTTCCTTTTCGTCCTGTCCTAATGTCACCCTGGAAACTTCCGGTGCGTAACTAAATAGTTCCGCCATACAGAGGGTCACAAAAAAGGTTCCGCATCGTGCTGACAGATATACGTTTTTTAATCTATTCAATCTCTTACCAAAAAAGCTATGAAACTATTATGTTTATATGAATATATATTTGTTGACGGCTTGGTTCATAAGCCCCAACAGGAACTAAAACAATTAGTTATTTCTTGACCTTGGAAACAAAGTTGACAGAGCAGTTTCACCTTGAGGTCATTTCACATAGAAGTTCTGGAGCTATGAATGCAGAAACAATAATAAAGAAACTATATTGAAAAAAGCGAAATAAATGTTATTGTTATTTCTTATCAAATATCAAATAAAACATGTACTATTAATTTGGGGCACCTATATAGTGGTCTACTGAATTACAGTATAATACTGTACAGTGTACTGTACTGTTTTTTGAAAATCATTGTCACTTCTTTTGCACCCATGTCCCAGTTAATATATATGTACAGTATGGCTTTAGAGAATAATAGGTGTTGTAAAAGGCAAGAACATAAAAGTACAGAAGGTGCAATATGCCTTTATACAACTAATCGTCTCTGTAAGTATTTTTGATATTTGTCTCTGAAACAGATATCCGGAGGCTCGTGTGGTGAATACTGATCTGACTGTCAGATACGAGGCACGTATGGAGTGCACTCTTAGAAAAGCCTAACTTTGGTTTCCCATAATTAACTAAATGTAGGTCTGTGGGATAATTTATTCTTGCATTTTAATGTCTGCCTGGGAGATTTAGAGAGACTGAAAGAGAGATGTCAAAGAGTCATGACCCAGAACTCCATTAGAGACACTGCCAAAAACACTTAATTTACACAGACACGCACACACGCACACACGCGCACACACACACACACACACACACACACACACACACACACACACACACACACACACACACACACACACACACACACACACACACACACACAGAGATCTGCTTCTACAAATAGTATTCAGTGCAAACAGAGAAATAGGAGCTTACATGGAAAATAATTAAATAGACTACAGTATATTTGTATTATTCTAGATTATATCCCCACCCTGGATACCTGAACACATTTAGCTTTTTCTCAGGAGGAATACACTTAACCTTACATTGATTATAATCACTGCATACTCATATTTTAATCTAAATATAAAGTTGAATGTGTTTCCAAATTGTCCCAAAAGGGGAAGTCCCAATTTTGCATCAATTTGAACAATATTCCACCAACATGTTTAATACAATTATAAATGCACGCAAATATCAGATCACACAAGAGTGAGAAACCAACTTGTCTTTATTATAATCAACATGCAGAATACAGAAAAGCTCACAGATGAGAGTCTACCACACACGCTTTGCTATCTTCCCAAAGCTCTTTACAATGTAAGAAGGTTATTAAGAAATTATTACAATTATTCATTTGTTCATTTCCATTTAGCAAAATCTCAAACAAATCTGTAGAAAAGAACCCAAAACACCCAAGACAACCCTGAATGTCACACAAATGACATAGATACTTTATTTCATAACTAGCAAGTGGGACTGAAGATTGGATATTAGCAGGAACTGAATTATTCATGTATTTATGCGGTACACTAACAGGGACTCTACCACTCCCATAAATAACATTTGCATTGCTAATTTCAAGCATTTAGGGCTATGCAGTCACATATTTTGGCTTTGCCCACATATATTTTGGGTTATGTACTTGCTAGTTATCTAAATAAGGTAGAAGTGTCATTTCTTTGGGTGGGTTATGGTCTGACTCTGCATGCAGGTTCAGAAGACTGCTCTTATTTCTATAAACATATTTTAGATATACAGTAGGTAATAATAATCTCCAAGGTGATGCCATTATGGCCAAACATGCAATAGTCACCAATGGAGTGGTTCAAATTGTTTCACCAGAACGAGCTAATTCTCTGAGCTAGACTACTGTATTTAGGTAATATGGTTATGTGTACATGTTTGTTGGTGTGTATGTGTGCTTGTGCTTTTACATGAGTACATTTGTATTATACAGTACATAAATGTATATGTATATATGACATATGTGTGTGTGCATTTGAGAGTGTGTTTGCATGTAGTCCATTGTCAGGGGCTGAAGGTTCTTGTGGACTCATAGTCAGACATACACTTGGGTGTGATGCCTTTAGCGTTGTAGTAATCCACCACCTGGTTAGGGACTTCTGCCAAAACACTCTTAGCCAGTGCAGCTGGGGAGGCCTGGAAGCACAGAGAGAGGAAGAGAGAGGAAGAGAGACGTCACTAAAACACGCATCACTTAGCCATGCATGATTCCAGGATGCTAAGATTTACAGTTGAGCCAGATGCTGTCAAAGGTCTGAATGAGTGAGACTGATGCGATCGGACAGGCTCATTTGACAACCTCAAAACATCCCTGCTTTCATCTTTTTGACCTACCATAGCTTGGTTTCTATGTGCTCACAAAATGGCACTTGAAAAAACACATTGGAAAATAATTTTAAAAAGCAATAACATTTACAGGGAAAAGTAAAGGACCATGAATATTAAACGTAGGTACAGTACAGTGCTGTATGAGTCAATAATGGTAATTAGTGCCATTTATTTTCCTACTTTGCTATTATTTGACTCAGAAAATGTTTGTGATACTCTTAAAGGGCAAGACACCCTATGAAAGTATTCATGGGATGCATGCTGTGAAGTGTTTATAATTATTCATTGTATTCTGATCTATTATTTTCTCCAGACTCATTGTATGGAAGTGGGCTTGGAAGGTTGTTCAACAATGAGGCAATCATTTCTGTACATTTATATATCTGTATCTTATATAGTCTATGGTCCATATATGATTTATTTTTACATATGCAATACATAAAATAACCATTTTGAAATCAATATGATAATACCGAGAAGTAAAAGAAAGCAGATTTTTGTCAGTTCTCGAAGGACTTGAATAGGGGAAATACTATTACTTTTGAATGTACAGCAAAAGTACAACAGATATGAATAACACTGAAGACTGTACCTATGATCAGCAAAGAGAAAAAGACAAACATATTTCTTTGTACATGAAGCCACTCGTCTGCATGAACGCACACACCCCTCAAAGTCAGAGAGTCTGTCGTACTCCGTCTCACATAATTCCCAGAGACAATGCACCATCAAAGAGCACCCACCCCAACTCCCCTCCCTCCTCTCATTTCCACCCTTCCTCCCTCTCTCTCTCCTCGGCTCCTATCTACCTGTTATCCCACACTCTGCCTGTCTCACAGAAGCTCCGTCCTGCTAATCCCTTCTGAAAAGAAACGACAGAGCAGAAAATCACCTCTCCACCTCTGTCACACACTCCCTCGCTCCCTTTTGTCTTTAGCTCCGGTCTCCTGTTGACCACCCTCCAGCACCACCACCAGCACTCTCTCCCACCAGCATCCACCTCTGTTCATTCAAATGTATTCCCCACCTCCCCTCTCTGACTGTCTTTATTATATGCTTCTTCTCCTTCTCCTCGCTCTCTTTCTGTTAAGCTGGGATGTAATTTGTTGATTCCTCAACCTGTCACAGAACAAACTCACCATAACCGACCCGGCAAAATAGACGCTGTCAAAGTCAGGCAAAATTAATGCCACCAGATAGGAAGACACGCGCACACACACAGTGCACACACAGCTTATGTGTTTTGACGAGCAAGCCAAGCATATTACGCCCACACACTCACGCTTGCTACCCTCTAAATACAGCACTTCTTGACACCCACACAACTAATTTACACCCACACACACTTACACACAGTCAGAGCCACCGCTAAAGAAGAACTTTCTATACGCTGTCTCTCAGTCTGTCTTTGACTTATAGCACCGCTTGCTATTGAACTGACTTCTTTTTTTAAAGAAACAACAAAGAAGGTTTACCCACTTTTTGATCATACATCTCCTCATACAAATCCATTCATTCACACCGGTCTACCACTTATCAATATGTTTTGTTTGTTTATATATTTTAGAGCCATTTATTTTCAATTGTAAGTGTATTTGTTTGTTTTATGATTGTAGGTAATGGCAGATTTCACTTTCTCCATTGGGCCACAGTAGCTTATAACGATACTCATTTGCAACACAAAAAGAGAGGAATGATCAGTGTTGGAGAAAACAGTGTGTTGCTTGATTTATGGTTTGATAAAAGTGCTGTTGTTGTGAACTTACAAAAAGTCACCAGCATGCCATTTCTGGTAAAATGTCAGCTATTTGTTTCTGTGAGAAGCAAATCTGTCATGGTCAAATAGGACTGACAGTTGGCCACAGCTGTGAAATGTAGACTGTAAAGTGAACTCAAACACAAATCTATGTTATTTTGCTCAACAGGATAATGTAGAAAACGAGAAGTGTCATTAAGTAAGCAAACTAACTCAATGATGTCTGCTACAAGGCAAAATCTATCAAAACTTTGCTAACATTAGTCAACGTTGGTCATACTGAACCAAATAAGGCTGTATTTGAAAAACGACTGAGTGCAAATTAAACAGGGGTGTGTTCTTTGCTTATGAGTTGAACATCTCATTTGTAAGAGGAGGATTGTGTTTTTCCTTCATTCAAATGTTATATAATCCCACTTTAAAAGGATTATATTTTCCATATGTTTTATTCATCTACATGCTGCTTAAAATAGCACATTGCAGAATGAGGCACAGTAACCTCAGTTTGTATGACTGACCTTTGGGGCATTCATTTGAACCTGCAGTAGATATGTAAGAACTCGAGTTAAAGTTCAAATGTTACTTATGATGGGTAAAAAATGCTTTTGGAAGGGGGTTATGTAATTTTGCTGCGGGGGTCAGATGTGACTTACAGGCTGCCATTTGTCTACCTTTGTTCGAAAGGAAGAAGAAAAGATTATGCAGTTTGTGGAAATTAGTTTTTGTGAACAGAGCCTCAGGTGTTGTTCTGGCAACGGTATTGAAAGATTTTAAGTAACACTTAGCCCTACTCAGAAGCTTTTTAAAAGCCTCTGGCCTTGA